TGCTGCCCAGTAGTCTTAAAATTATCTACAGATGAGTCAGTGTGTTTTGGCTTTTGTATGCAGTTGAACCAATCCAACTGGACTACACGTGGAGTAATTGCTGCTGTTTGCTTTTCATTTCATTTGTTAGAAACAGTAATGTCTATGCCTATGTAATATTTTAAAGAAAGATTTAAGCTGAGATTTTAAAAAGTGACTGTTGATCCCACATGCCTGCCTCTTTCTTATCTAGCTTCAGTTCTTAAAAAGATCTTTGCTTTCTGAAAGCTTCAGCTTAAGAATTTGGGGGCAATTTGGATTTGAAGCACTGTCGATTTAGGCTGGAGCTTTCCAGTGCACTGAGGGTTAACACAAGGAAGGCTATAAATGTGCAAAGCCTGCATTCGTGCCTAATTCTACCAGCAAGCCTCTTCGCTTTATGCAGCTGGCTGACTGAGGTCTGCTTGACAAGTTGTTTGCTGGAGATTTCTGCCTCCGCATCACAGATTTTAACAGCTATTGCAGGGAAAAATTCACCAAGCTTTCTGCTTAATCCCTTCCCTTTATGTTACATTTTCACCCATGTTTGCTCTTTATACATTTAGGATTCAAATGCACGTGCATTTCATAATAGCATTTCTCAGCAATTTCCTTTTGTGGTTCTCTTTGCAAATCCACAGGTTGCAAATCATGGTCCTTTCCTCCCACCTTCAGTATCAATGTTCATTTTGGCCATGTTTTATGATAAATGACCGGATGACAGACTTGGGGTTGCCAGAAGACATTCCAAAACTTCTTTTGGGCGCCTGAGAGGAAAATGCATGTTAGATCAGTGGATGTGGGATATTTTCTGTGAGGAAAAAATGTTCCAGGAATGGGAAGGAGTGGTAGATTGATGGCTGCCTTCCTGGCCTGTGAAGGGAGTGAGCCAGGTGCCTGGTTATCGGGGTCTTGTGCCACATCAGCTGCCTCAGGGATGACACATCCATATGTCCTGGCACGGATGAGCCAGGGTGTCAGGATTTGCAGCCTTCTGTTGCAGCACCTGGGAGTCTGGCACCTAAAATGGTGCTAGAAATCTCTGTTTTAGGCAATGGAGCTCAACGCGGGCTGCCTTGGGAAGAAGCTTTTTGAAATGACATGCAGGTAGATGTGATGTCTCTTCCATGATGAGCTGAAGATGAAATAGTTCTTACTGCTGTTTTAAAAAAAAAATAGAGATGCCAATTCAAAGCAAGGTGCCTGCATTTAAAGAAATTAAAAGGTTTATAGGCTGAAACAACTACTCTGAACATGTCTTGAAAAAGAACATACTGCCAGACATGGATTAGCCACCATGAAAATACTGGTCTTTGCTGCCCTCCCTTAGAAGGAAGGGAATATGTTACTTTAATGCCAACACAAGCCATAACTGTAATGCAGCTCACTTCAGCCTTGGTGTGCTTTTCTCACTGCTGGGTGGCATGGCCTAATATACTGAGGCTCCTAATATACTGTTGGCTCCTTGGACACCTCACATTCCTGGGGAGCCTTTGCGTCATAGATAGTTCCCTCCTTTGTCCTTGTTGGAAAGGACGGGATTAGGAAAGCAGCTTTAAGACGTTCCTTCTGGCCATCCAACCTGTACTCACCGAGTTTGGCATATCAAATGATTCTCTTGCCCTTGCGATAAGGGTAAATAATTTGGAGTTGGCGCATGATACTGTATCAGTGCTGTGCTTGAGGCAAGGCATCCTCCCAACGCCCACAGGCTTAATGAGCCTTTCAAAGTGCTGGAGCTGTTTTTCCCAAGAAATAAAGTAGCATTTCTTGCTTTAGAAAGAGTAATTAAGAAGCGGTTGTTAAGCTTAGCTGTAGACATTCTTCCAGGTGAATTGGGTACTGTTTGCTTTATGGAAATCTTTTTCTTAAATGACTTTCCCAGACTTTGGGAGATGCTGCAGCGCTGTTTTAGGAAGACATGAGTGCACAGAGTATCCCACTGAAGGAGCCTGCTCCTTTATTAAAATGGGCTTGAATTTTGGAAATAGTGTGGTGGGGAATCAACTGGAAAATAGCTGCGTCAAAGCTATTACCATGCAAAGGACTTCAGTTGTTGTGGCTGAAGTTTCCTACCACTTCTCTTGCTCCATAGCTGAATAAACCATCTCTAAAAGATCTTGATAGTTTTGATGATCTCTGAAATGGAGCATTTACCTTTTGAATCTTAGCTTTATTAGACTAAAAATCCCCACACATATTGTGGGTTTGGCCCTTAGCTCTAGGGAGAGAGAAGCTGTGTTTTCATTTGCTTCTTTGTAGCTAGGGAGGAATCAACTAGGGAAGCAGTCATAGCTGTGGCCAGTGGGACAAAAGTCTTTCTCTCCCATTGAATACTGAAAGCTGATTGATTATGAGGTGAGTTGTGACAACTGCCAGAGAGGTGAATCTCAGATTAACCACTCCAGATTTTGAGGTAAGAGGCTGACCCATGATTAAAATAAAATCAACTCTAAAAAGGGTGGGCTTTTTTTTTTTTTCTCTTTCTCTCTCCTCAAGCAGAAATAGCTCTGAATGATGAAATAATCGCAGGAGCTGGAATGCCCCTACAGAAGCATCTACAGAAATGCTGAAGTAGCTTATGGCGTCTGCATGGATTCACCAAGGGGAAATCATGTTTGACAAACCTGATAGCCCTCTGTGATGGGACGACTGGCTGGATGCGTGAGGGGAGAGATGTGGATGTTGTCTATCTCGACTTCAGCAAGGCTTTCGACACAGCCTCCCATAACTCCCCATCCTCATGGGGAAGGTCAGGAAGTGTGGGTTAGATGAGTGGCCAGTGAGGTGGATTGAGAACTGACTGGATGGCAGAGCTCAGAGGGTGGAGATAAATGAGGCCGAGTCTAGTTGGAGGCCTGTGGCCAATGGTGACCTGCAGGGGTCAGTACTGGACCTGGTGCTGTTCAACTTGTTCATCAGTGACTTGGACGAGGGCACAG